TGCTTTAAAGTCGAAAATACATGTGTTCAGATACGTACTGAAAAACTGATTAAAAATTCTCATTGTCTCTGAATACACATTTCTCTTAAATACAGCTGTGAGTATATAACGTGATTTTATAAGGTATATACGTACTTATTTATGTAGTCGCGACGTAGTCGAAATGCAACTTGCCTGCAAGAGAATGTACGGAGTGTCGAGCAATATTACATTTCGACTATCCGGTTATCTGTTATAAATAATTAAAAGATATTTGCTTGCTAGCATGGCCTACTGAACACTTGGGTAGTTTGGAGCTTTCGTGAGTGATTTACAATCACTCTTGCTTATGTCTATTTTTTCCTACTGCGTTCTGTAAGTAAAATCAATATTATCTATATGTATTTACACAAACGATACATTAATGCACGTAACGTAAGGAACAAGTATAGAATACTCATTCGGATGGAAAGTCCATGTTTTGCAGTAACATTGTTACCATGGTAACTTGTTCTCATCTTGTACTATTCTGACTTTTCATTGATTCAATATATGTAACGTAAAAATATCTTTCGCAAGAAGACATTAGATTTGTACCTCAAAGAGTTGCATTTGTCGTTTTAATAACATAAACGTATAGCAAAGGATACAACGTATCAATTAAAAAACAAAGCCATCCAAAAAATATTCATTTAAATATAAACTCAACTACGTAGGCATTTATCTCTTTCAATAGATCTAACATCAATACCTTACAATAAGAACAACCTGTGACCTGGAGTTAAAAATACATCCAAGATATAGGTCCGCATTTGCAATTGTAATATTTCATGCCTTCTGCTTTCAAGTTACTGAATGACAATGGTTATTCTCATTCTAAGATACTGATACACATGATTATATAACAAAATGTTCTTTCGTTCCGGAGAATATAAACTATGTTGTAATCGAATTTGCAATATATAGGAACTTTCATTGTGTAAATGCAATTCCATTGTAGTGTTATATACTCCATCCCTACAGTCATTACTTAGGCAAACTATTTCTTACATTATTGCCATGGAAACGTTATTACTGCTGAAAATATTTTCTCCTAACAATATATACGGTATATACGGTATATATGGAACGAACTTTAAGCGGCGGAGCGGTTGTGGTAGCATTTCTCGAAACTTTTCTTAATAAGAAAGTAACGATAATTAGTAAATATTAATAGATTTCCCAGATATAAAATAAGCTTATATTATTAGAGACATATGTATAAATCTTCAGATGTAAAAATATCAAGAGAAATCCTGTGTTTAGCTCCTATTATACAATATAATATAGAGCAAGTTCCTTAAGATTCAAGTATTAATTTGAATATTTCCAAAATTTTCAAAGCTTATCTTTAGTTACACCACAGTACAAATTATGCTCTTGTCATATAAATAAAGAATAACATGATTGCTGCATTTCAATAAAGATTCAGATTGAAGATTTTAAAACTGATAGAAGTTTTATAAAAATTGATACATGAATAATCCCTCAATGCAAAAAATATATTTTTCAATAAATCTGTAGCTAATTGAAGCAATCTATAATAACTAGTTGAGAAATAATGTACTTTCTTATGGATTATTTAATCTATATTAAAAAATGCGACTATTGTATGTGCTACCAAATACCTGCTGCGTCGCTGTTAAATCATAATCTATTAATTAATATTTTTATGCGCAATATATAGATATAAAAAAGATTTGCTAAATGTAACTGCTGGATATCCAATGTAATAATGGATACTGTATCCATTCCCTAACTATTCCCTCTAAATTATAAAACCCCTCCCTGAGGATCATGAATATCCAGCAGTTGGGCAAAAATGCTATCTACTAGTCTAATAGTAACGGTTAGCCTATTTCAATCATCTCTGCATCTTCCACATTGTTGTGACCAACTACATACCTAGAAAATTATCATCATTTTCTTTTTAACTCGATAATGATTTTATAATATGAAATCATATAGTATAAAAGAATTAATTTAAAAACAAAATTTGTAACATTTTTATTCTTACGTGTGATTTGGTAAATGGGTATTGTGAAAATGAAGATGCGTCGTCCGAGGTGAAAAACCGCGAGTTGCTTTGCGAGGACTTATAGCTTTTATGACTCGTGGTGATGGCTTGGTAGTTAAAAAGGGTTGTTTACGAAATACATCTTCCATTATACTTGGTGCTACATATGTAAATCCCTGAAGAAAGTTATATTATTAAGAAATGTTATCAGACACATCATGACTTATTAACACACTTGTCAGGTTTCTAATATATTAACTTTAAATATTTTTCTAGTTCCAAGAATTAGAGAAAGATGAAGAGTAAGTTGAATCAAACTTTAAATTAATCTACTTTGGAAAATAAGTATTAGATACATATATGTATAGCGATTTTGTCAAATCCTATGAGAAAAATATACTTTCTCTCTATAATACATATATTAGGTGTTGGAATTAATTCGTAGCGTTTTACAAGTGATGGGAAGTACTTTCATTAATGTATTTTTTAATGCTCATGTGAAATAAATAACATTCTTTCATTAAAAACGCTACGAATTAATTCCAACACCTAATACTATATTTCACTCTACAATCTTAAGCCATGAAATGAGACAGTATAAGTTAAAATGAGTATATGTATGTGTGTATATTATGTGTGTGTGTGTGTGTGTGTATGTATGTATGTATGTATATAGAGAAGTATACATAACTTTCTCATAGGACTTTGGCAAAATCGCTTGTAGCCGTACTTTGTTATAGAATGTTTTTGTCCCTAGATATATAAATTAAGAAAGAAAACTCACCTGAAATAGCCCATCAGCTGACTCGCTCAAAGTGTAATCTACTGGAGAGTCTATTGGTGCTGAAGTAGTAAATTTCTTATCAAATTGTGATACATCTTCTTCGTTAGCCAATTTTGGTCTAAAGGGAGGTTTTAACTGTCGAAATATAACGTCGTTCCAATTGATATGTTTGAAGAATTTGTGTGCTTTTACTTCTTCACCATCCGACTGATCAGATCCCAATCTTTGCGCAACTTGTCTCTATACAGAAGAAAATTAATTGTTTTTAATGTTATAATAATGTTATTTTTCTCAAAATAATTTCGCTTTTAAGATAAGAATATTATCGGCAAGATTAATTTATGAGCACTAACCTTCAATAATTTCCGAATAAGATCTTTAGCATCGGCAGTTAAATACGCTGGGAGAGATAATTTGCCACGTAGAATTCTGTCGATAGTTTTCTTCCTGCTGTTTGAGCTAAATGGTGGCTAAAAATTTAGCAAATAATAATGTGAATTAATATATGCATTCTTTGAGCTCGTATCATGAACGATATGATATAGTTCATACGTAATGATAATACATACTGCTCCTGTAAGCATGTCATATGTCAAACTTCCCAGACTCCACCAATCTACTGCTTTTCCGTGTCCACTTCTTGTTAAAATCTCAGGTGCCCTTTAATAAAATAGTACAACAATCAGTATAAATTATAATTATAAAATTTCTTAACAATCTATATTCTATGATATTTACATATATTCGATAGTTCCGCAAAATGTATGCGTAAGAGCGCCCTCTTGTATATGCTCTTTACATAATCCAAAATCAGTCAATTTAATATGTCCATCTGCATCCAATAAAATATTTTCTGGTTTCAAATCTCTGAAACAATTCATTCATAAACTGAATGCCGCATACAAACAAAACGTTTAATATACATATATCAATTATATTGAAGCCTTAAATTATATTTTAATTCTTGATGTAGAGATTTATAAAGAAAAATATAATACCTGTATATAATTCCTTGCAAGTGAAGATGTTGTAGAGCTAATGTAATTTCGCATAAGTAAAAACTGCAAAACAAATAACATGATATAAAATGCTTTGAAAAATATAACTGAAGATATTTTCATGATTCACTCACCGTGCAGTATCTTCCATGAAAATTCCTTCGTCATTTAAATGATGGAACAATTCACCACCGCACATATATTCCAATATCAAATATAATTTATGACCAGTTTGAAAGGCATACTTGAGATCTACGATAAAAGGATGCTGCCAGATGCAAGCATAAATAAATGAATTGATATTTTGTTCAAAATATGATATAGATAGAAGAAAATAGAGCGTTGGCTTTTATTGAAACATGTTAAAAAATCGAAAATTATAAGTATCTTTTTTATACGTACTATTAAGATTATATACGTATATATATATTAACCATTTGTTGAATTCGAATTACTGCAAATTAGCGTATATGAATATAACTAACCTTTATGGATTCCAAGATGTTTCTTTCAGCTCTAGTGTGAGCTGTATCTTTCTGATTTCTTACAATCAAAGCCTTGCGCAATACCTGTTTCGAACAAGACAAAAGAATATGTTGAATGATTGAAGAAAAGAGTGTTATAAATAAAAACGTTTGTCAGCGGAGGATAATATAAAAATAGATACTGATTAAAGAATTTATAATTACCATTCTAGAGATAAAACTGCAAAAACTAATTACTTTCAGTTCACAATAATTGAAGTAAAATTGCTAGCAAATAACAAGATAATTAAAATACACTCACATAAATTGCTTGTTGACAAAACTCGTGTAATTTTTTTATCACAAAGTATTTATTGATCAAGAAAAACATGAAATGCACTTCAAATAATAAAGGAAGACCAAATAATATGGACCAGGCTAAATTTTGATATTTATACTTGATGTATAATATTTATAAAAATTTGAAATACAATTACGTGAACTGCATATTGTTTATTATAGAAAACGCAATCATAAACAATGAAATGCAAAGCATAGCATAATTTTTGCACGTTAGTATATAAACAGTGAGATAACATTCTTAGATTACCAATATTATACTGTAATCATCCTTCATCGAAAGTATTTTTCACACACTGCTTATTTAGCAAACATGACACATTTACATAGAAAATTACTTTACACAATAATTGTATTACAAGGATTTCGATACCTTCATAGCGAAGATCGTGCCGGTATCGTTTCCCGTTATTTTGCGCACTTGAAACACCTTGCCATAGCCACCTTTTCCAATAACTTTGCACAATTCAAAGTCCTGCGGTCCGACCTTCTCGTGCGTGCGATTGACATTGTGCTCCGAAATCGCCACCGTCTCCACCACGTCAGACGAGCTGGAAGCGATAAGCAAAAGAAATTTAATAATTTCTTAGCGTTGACGAGAAGGGTGACAAGGTAGGGTAACCAACCGTTCCAAATTTTGCAGGACATCTCGATTTTCAGGTCTCTATAGAAGCGTCTCGAAAGAACGCCATTTATCCTAATTTATCACATAACGTAAATTAACACGAAATTCATTATTACATTAAAATAATGGGAATCCAGAGTCATTCCGATTTTTTAAAATTGATATCCCGAAATTAGCTGATCAAAAATTGATCAGCCAAATTGATCCAAATGACAAGCGGGTGGACGCGTGTAAACGCGTGGCACGATCGGAACACGCGCGTAGAGGTCCTATCAGGTCCTACTCACCTTACGATCTCATGCTCGTTCAGCGTGACGCATTCCTCCTGCGAAAAGGAAAACAGATGCGGCGTTAGAACGGTTGACACGTGCCACTGTCGCGGGCGGAGGTATTGGGATTCCCCATTCTCATCGGGAGATAAAGGAGGGCGGGGAAGCCTTAATTACCGCGTCGATCTCGATGATGTCGTCGTCCTCCGACTCGTCCCTGTGCGGCAGTCCTGCATCCTGCAGCTCGATATCAAATATCGCGGACATCGTGGTCGCCTAGTGTCGCTGTTCACTTACACGAACTGGGGAGATGGATAATTCAGGCGCGCCGGATTACTCTTGCGTCTCCTCTCGCGCGGGATGTCAACATAGAGTCCGGTAATTCTGGCACACCGTACGCGAAAACAGCAGGCCGCCCAGCAGGCACGAGCGGGATACGCGGAGTAACACGACGTTCAAGACTCGATCACTGTCGCAGATGGTCGCGGAGTGACGACGATGGCGAGAACTCGATTCGTAGAACGAACCGAATCACTCCTGTCGCAACCACGCCGAATACCCGTGGAGAGGGGAATGTGAACTTCTTAACCAATCGCCTCACGCGTCGCCCTTCCCACTATAACTAATCATGAATCTTCCAGGCGGCGGATTTGAATCGAACGTTTAAAACCTAATTTCAGGTAGTCAATTTTGGGTCTCAGGTATCTTTCTGTTTATACAATGATCGTACCAAAGTTACTTTATCTTTAAGCGAGGCTTAAAACTCTTTCTCTTTCTTTCTCTTTCTCTCTCTCTCTCTCTCTCGCTCTCTCAAGTTTAGAGAGGGGGGAGGGGAAAGTTTCGAGATTTGCTCAAAGTCAAAGTAATGTTAGTGCAATCTTAGTGATACAAGTCGACACAAACATCATTCTATCATTCTTGACATTCAATGAGTAACAAACAAAAAACGACATTTGTATAGATTTAAAATAGAAAGCATTCTATATATATTTTGAAACGAGAAAAATATAAAAGCGAGCGAATATTTACTAGAATATTTATAATTTCATTGCTCAATATCTAATAAATTTATTCACTTTTTTGTAAATAAATTTACTCACTTTCTTTGCGTTTTAAGATACACAATCAACTCCAGCTCAGATAATACAATTGATCCATTTAAACTTGAAGAACATTCATCTTCTTTAGTTCTTTATGAATTAACGTAGAATATATCTTCTGTTCGAAACTCAAAAAGAAATATACATATATAGAAATATATTTATATGCACACACATTTGATGCACGTAGATATGTTACCTTCAATAAAAGTAATAATTTAAAATTTGCACAAAAGTTATAACTTACTCTTATACAAAATTAAGAAATAGAAAAAGTTTAAAAAGAGAATATATCTTTTGGATTTAAAAAGAATTCACAATTGGTGATATATGATAATGAAATGTTTCGAATTCTTTGTGGATATTCTTTTATACCTAAATTTCTTTCATTTTTTCGCTTTCTTTTTTCACATTGAAGAAATTTAGAGAAATGAAACTATGCAGGCTGCCGGAAATAGAATAATATCAGTAAAAATGATGTTTTTTATTGGTAAAAAAACTAATAAATTTAAATATTGTCCGAAAAATTTGTTTCCATAATAAATAATATACACTAAGAAAGAAAATTTCATGATAAGTAACAAACCGAAATTGTTCTCGCAGTCTTTATCTTTTGAAGCTCGTAAATCTATCTTTGTATTCATTGTTATTAATACATACAATCACAAAAGTAACATTTGTCGCTTTGAAAATCAATTTTTGTTACTTTCGTTCAAAAGAATGCCTATCGAACCTTCATCACAAGACCATTGTTTAGACCATTTCGAGCACTATTTTTCTCATTCTTTGTTCCCGGGAGCTGTTATTAAATTCTCGGAACGCAAATGCGTCATACATTCGAATAAAGATCTTCATCGCGACGAGGTGGTATACCTATATAGATCGCGCGCTCACGAATTGTGCAATTTTATGAAATTGCATCCGAACGGGAAATCATTGCTTAATAAGGGAATTGTCAATGTGATTTATACGTACACCCACACACACACACACACACATACATATATATATATGTATATATATATATACTGATATATTTCGTTGATTACTTATCGGTATCGTTATCGCGCTGAATGTAGATAAATGCAGATAAATATAGATAACATAAGCGGTTAATTAAATGTCCTCCTACAAGATAGAATTTCATACGTTCATCCATCCGTATTCATACAGACGCGAGCGCTGGGCTCTGTTCGCTCATATTCGCCAAAAATGGTCCCATCAATTGAACGTCGGTACGTGCAAGGATACGAGAAGTTTCTTGAGATTACAAACTTAGAAAGTTCAGAACAGCCGAATTATGTTTTGTTCACCGGTACGAAGTTACCTGACACCGGCAAGAGTTGGTGCTCGGATTGTGTAGAAGGTGAGCGAATCTTTCTTTTTTTTTTTTTCATGTCGACATAACCTTACTCTCGAGTATTATCTGATATTAGGGTGTATTAGGGAAAAGTAGGGTAATTGTGCGCGGTGGGTAATTGTGTACCAATTTCCGTGATCAGAAGATGTTTATTGCAACGTGTTGTGGAAAGAAACATCATATCACAGTGTAGCACTGATGGCTGAAGATTAAAATAATCAACTTGAAAAAAAAATACATCTTTTGTTATAATATTGGTATTTTTGAAAATAAGACGGTAAGTTCGTAATTTTTGAGATTTTGTTTCTACTAAAATGTATACAGTGACATTATCGCTTTATGGATTAACTTATAGATTAAGAAGATTTATTCATTAGATTTATTCATTCAGTTTTTATGTTCTTTGAATGTTTATTGAATATGGACCTGTGGAGTAATTGTGCATATGAGTCTAAAATGTGCATAATTATCTCACACACGTATTTATATTACAAGAAATAATACGTGATTGTTTTTACGTATTCACATAATATTATACTTTTATTATAATATTTTACATTATTATAATATTTTACTTTTATTTAATATTTCACATAACTTTATATTTAGATAATAACGTCACTTACTTCCTGTGATGACAAAGTTTTCGCATAACAACACAAATTTATATCCTCACTTTTAATGTGAGTTAACAAGACTCACTATACACGATCTCGAGTTTGTGCAGATTATAGGTAAAAATTTGATTGAATCTTGCTTGTCACAATGAAAAGAAATGTGCATTTAACTGAGTTACATCACAAATGAAGATTATCTAAGTTAGTGTAAATGAAAAGCAGCTATAATTTAATTTTTTTTTTTCAGATGCCTCGTTATTATAAAAGAACATCAGATAAGAATAATTGGACTGAGGAAATCTTAAAATCAGCGATTTATGAAAGTCAATAAAATGAAAATTAGAGCTGCTGGGTGAAAATTCAATATTTCGGAATCAACTTTTAGAAAGCAATTGAAAGAAAGTTTTATATGCCATGTGCCGTTGGATCGAAAGCCAACATTTACGGTTGATGAAGAGAAAGAATTGACAAGTCATATCCCCTCACACATCTTATTGAATTCAACCTTTAGACTTGACATTTTTTGGCCTATTGAAGAACACTTTATATAGAGAATATGATTTATTACTTAAAATCGACTAGTCAAAAAAATAACCGAGTATGATCTTGCAGAGTTGTTAAATAAAGCCTTTTTAAAAGTAGTTTTTTAAAAGTAGCTATAAAGAAAGGCATATCTAATTTTCGTACAGCAGGTATTTACCCTCTAAACCTTGATAGATTTGACGAAAATGATTTTGCTCCATCAGTTGCTGAAGAAGGATCTCTTACTGAAGTCATCTTCGATAATCGAAATTCAAATTCCATTGAAATATCAGTAATATAGATAATTTTCCTGATTCTTACAACAAGAGGCAAATCCAATATCAAAATCTAGTACTTCAAAGACTTCTGATCAAGTCAAAATTATTGATATTTCACCCATTTTTTTTCTTTGAGAAAATCTCATGTGGCAACGTGATTCTCATTCAGAAATTTTAATTGCCTCAAAAATAAAAATTACAAGACAAATTGGAAAAACAGAAAAAGGCCGAAGAAAACAAGAAGCAGAATACCATAAAAGCAATTACAAAGAAAGCTAAAAAAAAACGTAAAATGTAAACAGAAAAACATTTTTGTAATCATATTTTTAAGAAATTTTGTCGTTTTAATATTAAAACTTTTTTATTTTAATTATTGAATCTTTATTTATGTTATTAAGAATCCATTAATATAAACATTTATGCAATAAATACAAAACAAGAGTAAAGAATCGGAGGAATATTTTTAATATAAAAAATATTAAGCGATTTTCGCTTAACATTATCCTTTGTTTTTTTTTTATTTTCATTTATATAAAATCATGTTTGTAAAACATTAAAAAGTACCCATTAATCTTTTTGTAAATATTAAATAAAATAAAATGTTTATATCTAGATATCTAATCATTTTCGTTTAGTGCATTATTGCCCGATCTATGCGCACAATTATCCAGCGAAGGGGAATTTTGCCTCATGTCACATCACTATAAATTAATCTGTAATCTACTATATTAAATAACTAAGGTTATGAAAGTAGACTAATGAGACTCTTTCTTCCCAAAATCCAGATTTCCCAACTGCATTTCATTCGTTGTAATATTAATTCTCACTAAGATGCCCACAATTCCTCCACTTTCTCCTATTGGATCTCTTTGGATAGCCAGAGCTGTTGGAAGCGAATTTTTTCAAAATATCTATTGTAAATTTTCTCGGCAGCCTGAATGGCGGAATGACGTCAAAAGACACAATGACGTCAACTAGGTCAAAATAGAACGTCACTATGAACGTCATTAAATATTGATCAGATTTAGTGCTTCATCTATAGTTATTATTACTGACGCAAGAAGTATCATGTAAGCGTTGAATTAAATTAAATTTTAAAACACCTATTGAATTAGAGCTGGATTAAACTAATGTTTATATGATTAGACATTGTTTTTTTGATTAGCGTTTGTATATTTTACATCAGTTAATACGTGCATGGATATTATTAAAAATATAATCACTGACGTCTAGTAGGCTGAAATAGAATCTTGATGTCACTTTAGTTGGGAGAATGTTAGCAAAAATATGACAAAAGATGCTTTTCATTCAATGACATAAATCGACACGAACATTATTCTTTTTAACATTTAGAGAGTAATAAAGATAGAAAGATATTTGTATTGACTTGTGTGCGGTGAAATGGAAAGCATTCAATGTCGACTTTCACCGCAGAAATGAAAAAAGTCTTATACATTTATATTCAAATAAATCCAAATGTAATTTTGAAATTTCTTATCGAAGTATAATTTCTAGAAAATTAAATAATAATGTAATATAAAAATTTAATATTTAATGAAATGATATAAAACTACACAGTCAAACACAGCATTTTTGCTGTGTATAACCGTGTCGACTTGTGTTATAATTGGAAAATACAGAATCATACATTACGTTTCACAATGTCATTTGTATATGTTACTGGAAAGCATTCAAAATCTGTCAATAATATATTATGGTAAATTAATTGCGGAATTCAAGCAGAATTTGCTATCGCTTAATATTATCTGAATTATATATTTCATTGATCACTGCATGTTCTAAAACTAAGTTCAATATTATGGTCAGATTTCTAAAATACAGGAAATATAATAAAAAATGATACGATTATAATGATGAAACGACGCATAAGATATCTATTTCCGTAAAAAATTTTATCAGTAGTATTTACCTGGATCTATCATTTAGGGATATCAAAATACAAATATGAGATTAAGAAATTTAGTTGAGACAACTGTTTGAAATATTTTATTAAATATTGTATTTTCATTAGTTTTAAGTTATTAATTTCTTAATTACTTTTATGTATATAATACTAAAAAGGAGAAAATGCAAATATGCATTAATGTTGATACAATTGGCAATTGATTTTAAGTAATTAGTGCATTTACTCAGAATTTTTTATTTTCTTTCAGCTGAACCATTTATTGAAGCTGGTTTCGCAGATGCATCTCAGGGTACAATATTATTAACAGTAGAGGTCGGGGACAGGGCATTGTAAGTATATAAAATATTCATATTGCAATTGCTATTTTTATATGAATTATTATGAGCATATATTATGTAATAATTATTTAATAACGTAAAATATATAACATGTACCGTATATGTATAAATGTCATTTTAATTATCACAGGAAAATGTTTCAAACTGAAATTGTATAGTCTAAAGGGAAATAAAATGATAAAATCAATTTTTTATCAAATCAAATTTTTTGGCCACAATCAAGGTTATGACTATTTTTTTAATGGAATTGTATAATTATTTTACATACGGATTCCTCTGCTATTTTCCTTCCTCTTTATATTTTTATATGCAGAATAATTAGAAGAATCATTATGAGAAAAAAATTATACAATTTTATTAAAAAAAGTGATTTCATATGACTGTGAAAAAATAACTTTCTTGAAAATTTTATTATTGTTTGTCTCCCTTTAGTTCATAAAACTTTTGTCTGAAACATTTCTCCGTATCTTTCATACTTTTCGAGATATTTACTTGCGAAAATTAAGATAGAATTCATCATATAATATAAAAATATAAAAACGAAAGTTTTAAAATATCTTTTATATACTTTCCTAGCTGGAAAGATCCAAATTGTCCATTCAGAACAGATCGTTGTACCAGGTTGAAGGTCTTGCCGACTTTAATTAAATGGAGAACTGAAAAACGTTTAGAGGGTAATCAGTTACTGAATCCTGATCTTATCGAAATGTTACTGTCAGATGCAGATTAAAAATATTTGTAATATATATTTCTATATTTCTTTTTATAAAAAATACATATTGAATTACAAATGTACATAAATTACATTTTCACGTACGATCATATTGTATATCTATTCTTTTTTATTATTATCATCCTTTTTACCCTATTTTGAAAAAAGATATCGGGAATACAAATAAAGATTACTTAAATTTAACTAATATTTATTTTTTATGCATTTGTATGCATATATGCTATAATTATATTGTAATAATCTACAATCTTTTGAATAATAAGGTAAGAAAGAGAAATGTCAAATAAACAATCTATTAAAATACTACTGTAAAATCTATAAATTACAAAGAATTTACTTTATATCTATATTTACTGAAATTGCGACGTAACATCCTTCCGAAATTTTAGCTTGATATGTTACAAGTATGAAATACGAAAAACTAATATAATTGTAAATTTCCTAAAAGGATCCATTTTACATAATTGGTGCCGCTGATGTTGGTGGTAACATACGTACGGAATAATGAACCTTCTTATTCCTTAGAATACTGTAGGTATTGTCAAAAACGACGTAATCTGAAATAAAATTTAAACAATAAGAATCTTATTGGACTGTATTCGTGAATAAAATTTAGATAACGTCATTATTTGTAGAATGCTGCTCAAACAATGGGCTTACAAGTCGTCGGAGTTTCGCAAGTTAATAATCCAATTTCATCCGATTGATGAGACGCAACCCTCCGAATAGGTATAACTTCTATTTTTTTTCCATTAGTCGCGTCTTTTTTCAGAATTCCAAATTTGATGTCATGACCTTCGCTTCGAAATTCCCAACTGAATACAAGAATATGAATTGAAAGAAAGAGACTTTTTCTTCTGACATGTTTATTGTAAAATATTTACCTTAAGATGGAACCCACTTCGGGTGCAGAAATATCGAATTCTAACTTTCCTCCTTTTCGAACGACGACGGTAGTATAATCCTCGTTTAGCTTATCCATATTGTTGATGTATATCTCTTTAGGTACCTTACCACCTTGGCAGATCTAACATAATAATAATTTATTTATAAACTATTATTTTTTGAAATAGTATATGAAACACGTTTTACATTTAAGGCTCCTGTCTATTCACTATAACTTAGATTATAACGTCAAAAGCAAGAAAAATACATAAAGAAAACCCTTGCAAATATATATTAAAACGTATTTTTAAATATATTTAAAAAAAATTTCATTATGTGGTTTCTAGCTTTGACGTCATCAATCTGAAGATCCGTGATGAATGATCAAAAGTCTTAAAGAAAACCAAGTATTAGCTTAAAAAATGAATAAATGCATCTTATAAAATAAGCTGCAAGAGTTTACAACAAAAAGCTGAATTCTTCGATGAGATTTATAGTTTTTTTTTAAACGAAAATTTTTGAAAAAAGGCATTAATTTTAAATACTATATTAACATTTAAGAAGTAATTGAACTTATTACAAAACTTCACATATTCTATCGAAGTTTTCATTTCAACGGCTATTTCGTGTTGTGTGCGTAATTTTGAAAGGGATTTTCAAATAATAACTTTTGAAGTGAAAATACTTTTGAAGTGTATTTCGGGTTGCCATCTGGATCCGTTAATATTCCACCATAATGGGCAGGTAGTTGATCTTTCGGTATGAGTTTAAGAAGTGCTGCTTTCCATTTCGACGGCTCGGCTTTGTAGATTTGTATTTTTGACAAAGTATAGTCGTCCATAAATTTCTTAATAAGAGAAAAAGCGAAAGCAAAGACTCTTGGAGCTGCAACAATGCATATAATAGTTTCTTTTTCTAAACATCTTCTAAATAAGCCAATTGTAAGCAATTCATCCTGAACAAAATTCAAAAATTATTTCAAAAAAGTTATTCACAGGCTTCTATGAACTTTTACATAGTAATAGTATTATTAATAATAATAATAATAATAATAATAATAATAATAATTTTTATCTTATTATATGTATATGCTAACTAATTGTCAAACGATAGCATATTGTTTTCAACGAAATTTGGAAGAATTATAAAACAAGGGAATAATTAGAAGAAATAAATGAATAAGGATTAATATTTCATATTGACCCGTATTCATAATCAGGCCTTACATTTAAGACTTAAATTTATCTTCAGATACGCTCTATTATTTTATTTCATTGGTTACTGAGCATCTAAAGATAAATTTAAGCAAGCCTTAAGTATAAAGTCTGATTATCAATACGGGCAATTGAATCGGTCATCGCAGATAATAGTAATTAGTTTTCAAGCCATTCAAACTATTTGGAAGAGGAATGAAATTGTTGAAAAATTTCTAAAATTATCTAAAATTAATATGCACTTTCCATGCATAATCATGCTGTAACTCATTGATGGTCCACGACTTAAAAATGTATTATATATTAATGGACACAACATGAAACAACGTTAAAACATATTTTTTATATTTTATAAGCAGTCTTTTAAAAAGGAACAAACAAATTTAATAATTTAATAATATACTTTAAAATTTAATAATGCATTTAAAAGAATTTTCAATCACAAACAAAAAAGAAAATTGATAATAAGCAATAATGCGATGTAACTATTAGTATAATATATTAGCATATATATCTGTCATTTTACTCTAAAGATGATCTGAAGCGGAACGAACGTCACTTCAATTATGATACATGTACACTCATTGACCGAAAAAATTGCAACAGATTTTTTTCTGTTTTTGGATGCCTATTCACCGAGCGATTGGTTTTTACTTACGGATCCATAAGTAAGAATCAATCACTTGGTGAAGCAGACTGCATTCCGAAATTCATTAAAAAAAAAAGGGTCGCAACTTTTTAGTCGGTGAGTGTATACCTGAGGACTTCGGTTCTTTCCCTCGAAGATTTTCATAAATTGAAAAATGACCACTTTTCTACATTAATGCTCATTGTCCATGCGTGATTAATGACACGACTGTGTCCGCTTACAATTAAATTTGACATAAAAATGAAATAACCTGAATTTTTGAAAGTTTTAAAAGTAATCGATGGAAAGAATTTAAGTTCTTGGGTGTACATCAAAAGCAAAGCAATTAAAGAATACTACACATATTATTTACGCACTAACAATCGCGTTGCTCTCTCATTGTATTTTATTAATTTTATTTTGCAGTTCTCTTTAAACAGACAATATATCAAAGAATATTTATTTTAATTTAAGCAGTAACATCTAAATAAAATCGTGCTAGTGCATTGCGATTATTATATTTTATTAAACTTACCATTGATTAGGAAGCACATCTTTAGAATTTCCGGATAGTTCGCCTCATACATTTGGACAAAGGTAATGACAAGCTCGCCAGCTACACCGATAAAACAATAATAGAAAAAAAAAATAGACAGAATACCTCAAGAAGAATTTATTAATATTTTTACCTGGTTTCCACAAATACTGTTTAAGATTAAATCCTTCCATGTCGAAAATAACGGTTATTTGATTAGCGAGCTGTCCATGCTTCTTGGATTGCTCCTTGGCTAAGTTCAAATAATTATCTAACAGTTTTATCATAAGTTTGATAAAATCCTTCTGTGTTATTACATGTAATGCTCCGTACATGTCCATACCGACAAATGGTACGATGATCACTGTAAAAATTATATCCATATACAATACAAAATAACATAAATTTTTAAAAAATAAGCAGAGCAGATTTCTCCGATCTTAGTTTTTTATTTTTAGAAGAATTTAGAAGAAAGAAGATTTTTATTTCTTGTATAATTTTTATATTATATGTATTTATATGTATTTATATGTGTGATTACTTTTTACAAGTTATTTATAAGTTACTTTATATTATAGAAATTAAATATATTATAGTAAATTTAGGTATTTTATTTTTTATATTCTATTTTTGTATTATATTTTATCATTTAGTCAAATTTTGTATTACTTTTCGTATTACTATTTCTATTACTTAATTTTTATAACAAACATATAAAGAAAAATATAAACAAATGAGATAAAACCTTAATTTATAAAGTAACTTTCCAAACCTTGATAAACCTAATTTGAGTGTGTTTTTCTCACTTATTTAATATATATGTCTGTTTATTTTTTTATAATACTGATAGAAATTGACATTATATAATATATAATTTCAATTTATGGTGCTATAAACGTAAAAAATTTAAAGCAGATTTATGATTCAAAGATTGATTATAACAAAAGAGATTTTTTTACTAATTATAACAAAAGAGATTTTACCTGGTGCTCCATCTTTGTCGAATCCACTTAATCCGTAAGGCAGATATGGTTTTATTATTTCAGGAATTTCCCATTTATCCAAATTATCAGCATCCCACTGTTTTCGCCATTCTAGCGACTATAAATAAATATTTTTCTTCATTATATTATTGCAGATGCATTGTAAATTATCAAAATTATCAATATTTTTGATATGTATTTCTGATTATTCTGACATACACTGATAAACACGTGACTTATTATATTGTATTTTTATTGTTTCGAATATTTTACAATAACATCTATAATGTGTGGATATATCTGTGCTGTCATTTTTATTTTAATTAGATTTTAATAAATCTTAACAAATTTAATTAAAAGATTTTTTCACCACTCTTATTTTTTATGCAATAGCGCAAAATTAAAAAATGTAAATAATTATACATACGTAACGTTTGTATCATAAAATACAATGTGAAATATTTCTATATGAAATCTTTTTCTTCATAACATTAAGAAAAATACGTACCTACATCATATTGTTATAAAAGTTAAATTTCTTTCATGAAAAAACGATAATAGATTAATTAGATTATGCTATAAATATATATCCATTCACTGCTTGACTTACTCAAAACAGATGTAGATGACAGAAAAAAATCATGTTATAGTTTAAATAAATTGGCGGTATAAATAAAAAAAAAATGAAATTTTTTAAAATTATAATTGTGTTTCTTGAATTATAACTGTAACATTCAAAATTCTTAGATTACTATAATGTAAGTAGATTAAAACATATTTAAATTTATCGTAAAATTTATGCATTAATATCTTTTAGTATGAAATTATTGAATTAAAAAAAATATATGTAAAAAATATTATATATCTAATCTCACTCAAATATTACGTTTCTAACAGAAATTCAAGAAGATTTTATCGTTTTGTGCTATTCTTCCGTGTAATATCTGTATAAAAGAATACGGCTTGTAGGTTTATATGTTACGGTGTAACGCGTACCATTGGAACGTTAGTCGGTAAGATATCTGAAGATACACTGAAGAAAGAAATATTTCTTATAATTTACAGTTAATGATTTCAGGAATAACGGGGTTTCACGCGGAATAGAAAGTGAAAAAGGATAATTTCCTGAAGAAATTACTCTGGAATATCGAGCCGTATCATAGATCCTCGGTTTTCAATCATTATGAAACTTCTCAGCGCAAGAATACGGATGGTGATTTCGCAAACGTGCTTTAAAGAATCGGCACATTACTTTCGACTTACAAAGTGGCATACAGAGAACAACTTTCTATTTCATAAAACATCTACGAGAACAAAAAAGCGGCACTGTTGACAGCAAATCTTCAACATCCGATATGAACCCGGAAGGATTTCTTTAATTTATTCGCGATAGAATTAACTGCGATTACTTTGAATGATGTTGGCAATTATTTGATCGTTACTTACATAAAAAGATTGTTAAATTATCGTCTTGACATTAACAAATAATACAAAACATTAAATCTATTATGTTTGCTACATATTAAATTTATTATATATATGTATAATATTATAATATTGAATACATATATATTAATAAATCTTGATTATTATTAGATCAAAGAACATTTATAAAAAATAATTTAAAATTTACATTTATCTATCTATCTTTGTTTAATTGATGTGAGTAACGTTTCTATCAGACGAATTGGATTGACAATGAAGTGACATACATCTTGACATTCTTGACCGGCATTCAGTTCAAGATAGAACTCACAAAAAATAGATGAAGATTTCTCATCAAGACACGTCACACAAAAGAAGTTTTTTAGAATGCAACGAGCTGTGATGCGATTCACTAAGTTTACGCCTGCCGCGTTAATATTTAATGAGTCGCGAGTAATTCACGTGGCAGAGAAATTTAAAAGACTCGGTGACCGTATCCGGAACGTGTTTCACCAGACTTTCTCAATTGGATTCGTCTGTGTTTTGTGTAATGCGAATAGTGAGTCTCTAACCTGAGGGAACGGAGGTCGAATACGTAACCGGCATAATGTCCGGAGACAGAATAATGTAAAATACACTTATTTAGCACATAAGTGAAATATGAGAATGTAAAAAGTGAAATATGCGATTGTAAAAAAAAAAAAATATTCTTGCACAATTACTTACGTCTCTCAGCATTTTTTCGGCTGTAGTAGGATTCCATTTTCTTGCTAAAAAGAATAGAAATATAAATTTATTTTAACTTGCATCGTAAATAATACATTTCTCAGAATTATTTGAATTATCGGTAAAAATAAAAAACGCTACGAATTAATTCCAACACCTAATATATGTATATGTATATGCAAAATCTATTTATTTATTATTGTGTAACTTGCAAGTGCATATAATATCAAATAAAATTTATACATATATTATATAACATATGACATTAAAAAAATAAGAAAAAATGTGCAGTTTTTATTCACGTAGTTACAGAGTTATTTACACGTTATTTATTTAAAATAAAATTTATTAAATTATTGTTTCAATATATATTAAAAACGTGTTCATTGTGCATTGGCATTGTTTATTGAGTCGTAGCCATTTATGTGACTCACAATTCTATAGAGGCAGCTAATAATAACCGATAATTTCGAGTTTCCTTTTGTAGTTTTGTTTCAAAACAGTTTAATAACTTCGCTAAGTGCCGCTTCGAAACATACACATGCACACATATAAAAATAAAGGTAAAAGACAATGGATGTCATGTCAATTTCTATGTGATCTTTCTCACGATGCACATGACTACGTTATGTACACATAACACAGAATAAAACATTTATTAAAGTCATGAACATTTATTGAAGCCTGGCTTTGTAACTGTTGTAAAATTATTCAATATGATTGATTTTGCCTTTAGTTCCTTATTGGATCTATCAAGGGGACTATCTGGTGATGGGATCAGGGATTTTTATGTGCTTTTTACAAGCTATTCTTGAGCGAAAAAAAATCGATTTCTTCGAAACTATGGGCCAATGATTAAAATGGACACGTATCGTTTTTTTTTTCGCTCAAAAAGCCTGTAAAAAGCGCACAAAAATCTCCGATCCCGTCATCTGGTGTTCCTCTTGTGTTCCTAAGTATATAAACCAATTATATTTAAGAATTTTACAACGGTTGCAAAGATATTTTTTTCTGTTGAACGCAGCCATTATTAATTGGTCATCAGGGAGAAAGGGTAGAGGGCATACCTCTTAACCAGCGAAGCAGAAAATAATCATCATGGTGTGGCTGTAGGATATCTTGCACTGACCGTCGGAACTGCATGAAAAGAGAAGAAAGGAAATATATAGATCTGCTTTGTTTATTTTTTATACATTATATAATAATATTATTATTGAAAGCGTTCACTTTCGATTGCGCAATTTTGTGATTTATGATACTATTAATGTAACTTCATTTGATTTATGAGTATTTATGAATCGAACATAAGAACGAGGAACAAAGTTACTTTATTATAAATATGTATTATGCGTATCATGTTTGCATGGGAACGTTATAAGCAATTATACATGTTTATTTTTTTTTTTTAATATAATACGCTTACGTAAAGATTATATTATACATTTTTTTTAGAAATAATGCACATTGACTTCATTTTGCTTCGCATTATCGTTATTGCAATGTTTCCAACATATTCTTAATTAAGATTTATAGGAAACAAATGCCACGATGTGATATTATAATAATGATATACGCGAGGAAGTGAAACTTCCTTGTCGATTTCTATAATTATCAATTATCTTCGTGAGAGAAAGAAAGAGAGAGATGAAAAAGGTTCGTACTAGTTACATTATTAAACCTAATCAAAGTCTACTTTCACTTAAATCTATAGGATATCACGGAGAGCGCAGAGTTTGGTGATGTTAACTTTGCATATATCTTATATTGTATAAGATGTTTATCTTTAAAGAATATAATCCTTTTTATACAGATAAGTTCGCATTTTTTTTTAATTAAACGTCTACACACAGTATATGCTGCAAACTGACAGATAACAAAAAATTAAAATTTAAAGATATTATCTCATATAATTTATCAGGCTTGAGGTCATAATTATACGTTTATGAGTGTGCATATTTATTAATTTTTTTAGAATTTAATATTAAATTTTTTATTGATAAATAATTTTAGTTTTTTTCTCTTTAGTTTATGCTATGTAAATATATTATTACAAAGTATAATAAAATAGAATTTACATTTTTCCTTGAGCGTTTGTATCACTTGATTCTTAAAAATTGTTTGAAGGATTTGAAACTATTCCATATGAGACTTTTTACAATTCTACATATTTTAAAATTCTATGAATTTATTATTATTATTATTATTTATATTAAATAATTATCTACTTATGGATATCGCCTTGAATAAAATGTGTATTCATGGAACAAAATATTTTCTAAAGAAGGAAAGAAAAGGAAAAAAAGAAATATTGACTTATTATTTTGCCATCAAGTTAATCAATGTAACTCTTTCTTTACAAAGAAAATTATTTGCATAATTATTAATCCTTATCCAATTATCAAAACATATAATTTTCCTAATAATAGTTACTCATATGATGAAATAGCTCTTCACATGCTCGAAATAATCGAAATGATGAATATATGTCTATTTTTAGCGTGAAAGATGTTATGATACTGATTTCATTTCTTGATAAATAGGAGAATGGAAAAAAAGGTGCACAGAAGTGAGAGGATCTGAATAGGTCACACATCATTATCATAATTATCGAACGAAGTTAATAAACCAGTTTCTCTTTTCAAGAATTAGACTTGTTTGTAATTCCGATAGAGTTTTTTTTCTTTGTATGTACGTCGACTAAAGCTAATGGTATTGTTTTGTAAATGCTCAATAATCGCACAATGAGCACAAACAGTTCTTTCTTTCTCACCGTTTTGAATGCTCCCGATTGAGCGTGAAACGCTAATTGAAAAATAGATTCTAATCGAACTTTACAGACGCTATCAGTGTAGCTTTTATGTTCGCTGTTTGTTTTAAGTGCAAGAAGTAATAAAAAAAAGCAAAGATATCTTTTATCCTCCTTAATATTATCCTCCTCATTTTCATGATGCTAATTACGTCCGTACATTTAAGAAGTTCATTGAATATTCAATGAAGGTCATACATGTTTAATCTCCGTTATAGCTGCAGACTACAGAAAGCCATTTACAGCGAAACGATAACAATAGAAATTAAAAATATAGAAATTAAAACGATAACAGTAGAAATGCAATATTTTTTTTCAATACAATTTCTATGATCTTTTACAATGGAATCGAGAGTAAGTTGCTTGAAAATAGAGATCAAATATAATAGAAATCGAAGATTTGTCACAAGAAACTTTCTCGAAAGTAAATTACGAAACAAATAATTGTTTTTGGAAAAAGACTATTTACGTGAATTAGGTAAATAGATTGCAATTCGTTATAAGTTATAAAAAGTATTAGAAATGTGAAGCAATATTTTTTTATAGCCAATTATAATAGTTTTGTTACGAAACAATAAACTTGTATCTATACTAAATAAAAAGTTTACATGGTTTTGTAGTAAACATCACGAGCATTAAACACATAGAAAAAATATCGTACATATTTTCCACGAAATTATGAATGCAGTACCATTAAATATTTTTATCCTCCGAATAGCATATGACATAGGAAACGAGAAAAATTATATATAGGCGAGTGTTTTTTATTGATCAATATATTATTCTGATACGATATTAATGGCATTATTAAAATACAAAGAATTTACAGAACGTCAATCAAAGTTTCTCTTGATCTCATAATAAATTACATAAAAATAACTTTAATGCAAAGTTTTCGAAGATAGATGATTTTTGGAAATACAATATTATATGTCTAAATTTTGTTTCTTTAATAAACGTGAATTTAAAATTATAAAATTAACTTTTTATTTTTAATTAATTATAAAATATTAATAAAATTACGGTATAAAATATTAATAAAATTAGCTTGAGATAAAGAAAGCAAGAAGATGTCGAAAGAAATGCCTAATCTAGTAAACACGCTATGCAAAAACATTAACAATTAATATTTTCCTTTCATTTACTATTAATGATTTACTTAATTATTTATTTACAATTCCTATGAATTGCCAATATCTCAATTACAAAAATACTTCGATAATTGCATAGAGAGAAGTAAATATCCTTTTTAAAATCATATAGTGTGTTTACTAAATTTTGCATTTCTTTCGATATTTTCTTATTTACTTTTTCTAAAGTCTTTATCTATAGACTGTTATTGCAAATTTCTACTGATATTTGCAAGACATTTTGTACGATTGCTTCACGCAAACGGATTGAACTAAGAAAAAATCATTTTATGCATATGCGATAGACATCTTGTGTGAGTGTGTGTGTGTTGTGTATTACATCGATGTCGTAATTCAAGATAGCGCGGACGCCCGCGAATTTACATTGCATTGATATGTATTGAGGACACACTTTTTAAAGTGTGCGAGATTTGCGTGTGCAAATCCCAATCCCAATTATTTTTAGTCACGAGGCTATAATAGTCTCCAAAACAATAACAGATGAAAATATCGCCACATCACTGACGTAATGTTTTTTTCTCGAGCGATAGGAAAAAAAACAACAGTTGATTTAACTGATCACTTTATTGGTATCATATGAGTAAAACTTAATAAACTTTTTCAATATATGTGTCACGTACTAGATGTTTTACCTTTTTTTTTAGATTTGGAGATAGTAAAATTCTCAATATTAAAATATAGTAAACATAAATTGAAACAGAGAAAAAACCGATGACTCAGATTTTCTGCGTATTTTTGTGAATTTTGACATCAAATCTAATTGGTATTGAAACAAAGTCGTAAATTGAAAGACAATCGACGACTCTTTTCTTACGACGCAATCAGAAAAGTGCCAATCTCTTTGCGATCCGCTGCATCTTGCTGCTTGAAATAAGTGCTCGCTACTTACTATCCGTTCTAGATATCGGAGGTGAATGATCACTAGGTTGTAAGAGGACTGAAGCAATTTCTCTACGCGCAAGTCTTTGCCTTCAATATCTTGTATCACATATAACGAAATTTTCAAACTTATTGAGAAATCATGTCAGTATATATTAATTTGATACTCTTGAGAAATCTTTGTCGAATCATAGCGTAAATATAATTTCTTTTAAAAACATTGAGAACTTTTTTTCACAACTAGCTAACGTAAAGATTTTTTATGCAAATTATACCTTCGAAAGTATCTTAGAAAATTTTCATAGTAAAATTATTTTCATGACATTTTCATTAATAAAATTAATAATTAATATGATGCTTTTTAATTAAATTTGTTTTTTTTTAAATTTTAGAGAAAAGCAGATACAGTTTGGCAAAAATATGAATTTTTCTATTCATATTTAAAAAATATAATTATTTGCTTTATGAAGCTTCTTCATCTTATATCTGCGTTTTATTAATATTTTCATTAAATAAAATTTTCCTTAATTTTTATCTTTTTTTGTTTTAACGAGAAGAAAAAAAATAAATTGTTTGATTTAAAGGATTTATTTGTAAAAATTATATTTGCTGTGTATCTGCTTATTCATGAATGTCAATAATCTATATTTATCAACTGTATTTATGTGCATGCTTCATAATTAAATCGTCAATTTGTCGAGTATCCAATAAATGTCAATCTTTTTGATTTATGTGATAACTAGCGCTATTACATTGATGTATGTTACATCATTTACATGAGGTACTAATATTCCTATCGAACGCCGGCGTTTAAAATATTTCTAAATTATCTCGAGCATGCCTGAAGATGAATGTTTGTTTAAAATTTCATATGTGGAAATATATAGAGCTTATCAATATTATCATTTTTGTGTTTTTAAACACAAAATAAAGCAGAAATTCGAGAATAATAAATAAATGCGCATCGACACGATATATGCCCATTTTTTTTTTAAACTGCGGCATAACATTTATTTCTTTATTTAAATGTATTAGTCATGCTGGAATAAAAGTTTAATAATTATTAATGTTTACATATTTCTTAAATTCATGTAAAATATGTTAAGTATAATAAAGAGATAAGTTTTAGCTTTTCAAACAACTTCATTTATTTTTAAAAGAAAGAAAAAGTAATAACTTGATTAACAAGTTTTGTCTGCAAATTAATTAAAATTCACAATAAATTAATTAATATTAACTTGAGCTTTTGCAATTCATTAACATTCTAGAAATAATAAAAATTGTTTGAATTTTATTGCATTATAGTTTCGTAACAATAATTAAATATTATTTCAGTAATTTATTTAATCATTTCTATTAATAATTATACGTACGTATTCGGTGTTTTTGCGTTATTCATATTGTAACATATAAACTTAAGCACAGAATATATTTTTTCATATCGTTATATGTGTTTTTTAACATATTTATCAAAAGTTAATATTAAAATGAATAGTTTTAACAAATTTAAAAAACTTAAAAGCATTTGTTTATTTAGTATGATTTATAATTTATTATTATTATTTATAATTGTAGAAGATATTTTTCATTCCAATGAGAAGAAAACTAAATTATGAATACCGACCTAAGTAAATGTATGATATATACATTATATATTCATATATACATTATATATTCTTTTAAATAATTTTATATAAAATAGTCATTAACAAAAAATCTTGTCTCTATTGTATCTATTTTATATAAAATTAAAAGAATATGTAATAAAATAGCGCGATATGTCGAAACTTTATCACTATTAATAATATAATCCTGGAAGATGTCTGATAAATTTTAATCGGTTAATTGACCTTACTGGCGTACACACGAATGAGAAGAATAAAAAACCTTGAAATCACAATGTTCCTTGAAATATTATATACAATCTTTGAAATTATGAATAACAATGTCCTTAATGTGCTGTTTATTAGTTTTAATATTTTCGCGAGAACGAAAGAGAGAGAGAAAGAGAGAGAGAGAGAGAGAGAGAGAGAGAGAGAGAGAATTTTTTAAAAAGATTTTGTCCTCGGAATAGCTAGTAAAAAAGCAGTATGTTATAGATTTACTAAATTTATAGAGCTACTAAACTTGATTTTAATCTTAGTCAGAAAAATAGCATATGAAGTTATTAAATATATAAAAAGCCATTATGAATGAAAGTTATGTTAATGAAAGTGTAAAATTATAATAAAATACTTTTAATGAAATCTATATCTATATATATAAAAAGAATGTATACAAAAAGCAATAAATAAAAGCCATAAAATTAGAAAAAAAGTAATATAACAATTATTCTTGCTCAGAATCGTTCTCATTATTACCAATAATTTTGAAAATTTTCTGATAGATACTAGCGTTTCTAATAGATACTAAGCATCACTGATGAGCACATGAATGGGAAAAAAAAAAATCCTTGAAATTGAATGAAAAACAACAAGCTTTCAATTCATTCTATTTATCATAATTTAATCAAGATTTAAAATAGTTTTTTTATCAAGAACTATTAAAATGAGAATATTATCATTTATTATCATGTTTTACTAGTACAAAATACGATTTAATATATTCATGAAACAACATTCAGATAAAATTAATTAATACATTATACTTTAAAATTACAAAAAGTTTATATTAATCATTAGAGATATATTTATAATCTCGATCCGGTGCAATTCACTTATTCGCGTTAACAAAGTCACGACAATTGTCTCACGCCATGTCTTAGCGCCGAGACACTACGATGTTTTCAGATACTTTCTACTTTTTAACATTTTCCTTTCTAGAATAAATTATACATTGAGTTGGCAAGAAAGTAATTGCGTTTTTAAAGTTCAAGGCTGTAAAATATACAATATCTTCGTCAATAATGAATGAAATTTAAATTTAAAAAAGAGTTTTAAAGCTTGAAATCTCTACTTTTAAAAGCTTATATATTTTTTAAGTTTATATGAGTTTGATAATTTTTACATTACCATAAACTACGAGCTGAAAAAGACGGAAAATTTTCTTCTCACTTTGTGGATTTATAACGTGTCCAAAACAAATTTGAGAACATTTTCGACTACCTATCGTGAAAACTTGATACTTTCCTTACAAAATCGTTTTTTTTTTTAAATATTCCTATGATTTTTTATTACTGAATTATCGCGAATTAAAAGGATCATTTTGATTTTAATTGCTCATAAAAATTGTCGTATCGCAATTTAAAAAAGAGATTCTTAAAGCTGAAACTTTACTCTATCAAGAAATATTTATATTGGTTGGTAAAAAAGTAATTGCGGTTTTTACTGATAGATGCCTTTCAAAAAAAACGGAATTACTTTCTTGCCAACTCAATAGAATAAATTATATCTCTGCACTCTTACCTTCATCAATGCAAATCGTTGATCATCCGCCAATTTTAATGACATTTTTGTTATTTGATCACTCAAAAATTCTCTTCAGTTTATCGGTAGATTGTTGAATTTAAAGATCTTCACAGTCGACTTTTATATCTATGGCTAAAAATAAAAAAAATTGATATATATAATCTATATTAATTAAAGCAAATTTTTATCAAAATATGTAGTATAACAAATATAAAATAACGCATATATTATATCTATTATTTTCGTATCTTTTGCGATTACATAAGTATGTAATATAATGGACTGATTGAGAATAATTATTATTATCGTTGGTGGAGAATAATTATTATTATCACATGAAAATGTTTTTATCAGTGTTAAATCACACAAAGATATATGGATTGATAACGTCATTTGTATTGATCAAAGATTAAAGTTTAAAATATGCATTTATGATTATTTCTAATCGAACAGTGGATTACTATATATAAGTTAATTACTCGCATGATTAATTACATTGTCTTGGATTCTTTAATTAATTACGTATATTATATACTGAATTAATTCATACAGTACAGGAACAATGTTCAAAACAATAAGACATGAAAATCTGTATTATTGTTTCTTTAATTATGATAAATGACAATTATTGATAATCCACTGATCGCCCCATAATGAATGATTGTAATAATTACAAAATTTGCATTTTTATTATGAGATTAAACTGCCAGTTGTGGTTTTAATTAAATATTATTATATTTGAATTATATACAAGGAAATAAATGCAGAGTTATAATGTTTTTATCGGCATTAAATTTCATTAATATATAAATTTTTTAATCGATAGTATACGTTATATTTGCATCAATTAAGATTAGAGTTTAAAGACAACACATATTTTACAATTTTTTCTAATCAATAAGCAGAATGGAATATACAAATTAATTATATTTTGCTTTTACTCTAGCTAAATAATTATATTATATGCATATATTATTGATTCAATGTATATTATACAATATTAAAGCAATAAGATAACACGATATTATTGTTTCTTTAAAGATGTATATATGTCACATCTCAAAATATAATCCAAAATATAAAAGAAGAATATGTTAGACATAATTTTTGCCTGTTTTTCAGTTCATTTAAATGATGAAAATTTGATTTAATTTTATTATCAATAAAACTAAATAAATAACTAAATAAATTTAATTTTCTTAGGGATCTTATATGGTTACACACAATAATACTGTCAAGTTTCAACCAATATAAATATAATGTATAATTATTGATGAATTAATGAGAAATATCTGAATCTAAATTTGTCTCGAGCAACAATATCCTCTACGACAGAGCGCTATACTAATAAAGAGAATTAAGAAATCCGAATCGCCGCACAATATATATTAATTTTCAGGATTTGTTAATTTATGCTGACAGTATATTTAGTTATCGTGTAAAGTACGCAATGTATTGTATATAAAACTGACTTCAAATATTGTCAATAATTTTTATCTAAGACCGTCAAAATATTATACAAATATTATACTAATCAATATTATTGAAGATCTGCGTAGAAGATATTTGTGGAAAAGCTTATTTGGATCTATTCATTCGTTAAGTAAAAGTTAAAATTGCAGTAAAATATAATTATTGCGCTGTATAAATCAAAATCATAGTAACAAATTACGCGTTTTTACATGAAATTCTCACTATTGATTTAGAAAGAATGAAGTTAAATCATATCATTTCCTCTTTTTCTAAAGTATTAAGTCGAAGAGAGATACTGATTTAATTCTTTTTAACGGAACACAGACATTATGCTTACACGGAATTTACAGTTTATTTTTACATCTTTGAAATCATTATTTTTTTCTTTGTAGTTAGTTTCAAGGCTAATTATAAAATTAATGTAGTCTTTATTAAATCACTCAATCATAGTTAAATTACTACTTGTAATTTTTATCGATGATTGTTATAATTGAATACATGAAAAAATAAAATACAAGCAATAGTTTGTATATGCTCTACACAATAAATGCTTATATTCCATAAAATGTGAACCAATTATCACTGACACCTATCATTATCATAATATATTACAATTTCCACCATATTACAAATGAGATAACATCTAATAACAAAATTTAGAGACAACGCAGTATTTAAAGATCATTAACATTTTAAATATGTTCTAGGCATTGAGACTTTCTTTCGTATTATTATTGTGATGTGTTGTCACTTGTCATGTACCACGTGCTATAATTTAGCACGTATATAAGATTTGTAAAATAGTAAGTTGATGTAATCTTAAAAAAGGAACATCCCATCTTATACACAATTTGTAAATATTTCCCCACATTTGTATTATTCAAATTATCACAAGCGCATTTTTAATATTTACTGTATTATCTGGGAACAGTATAAAAAAAAATTTTAAATTCAAGAAGTTATCAGAAATCACGAACACCACGAAGATATCAGCCAATGCTATTCACTCGATGAACGTGAACCACCCGGGGACCACCTCGAACCCGCGATCTCGACTGTTCGGCGATGACTGGGTTGACTGTGTTCAGATCGATGCCGCAACAGGTGTCTATTGCAATGACCGCGATTGCTGCAAGTTTGCGTGCACGCGTGCGTACGTCTGCACGCGCCTGCCTTCACTCGACGCGATTACACTTACAAAGGTGAGATAGGTATCAACGTCACGAAGCGAACGGCACCGAAGGAATGGTTATACCAGCTTGTTCTCGACAATGGCAAATTTCCAACCGCCCCACCATCGGATCACTCGCACCAGCCACCTTCGCCGTCGCCGCGATGTTATTCGACGGAGCTGGTGCACGTGAAATGAACGCGTGGTCCTGTCTCCGTTCAGAAACTCGATAAACAGGCTGTCGCGCCCAAGTTCCAATTTCTCGACTTGATTCTCACACAGAAAGAACACTGAAATACCTAAAAATTTTGACAGTTACAAATCTGAAAATAATTTCGTTAATTCAACAAAATATTTTTGAAAAAAACTCAAAAAAACATGATAAGCAGTATCGCAAAAAAAATTTGATATTTCAGCGACCAGCTTTGATATTTGAGTGTCCTACATAATTATTTTGGTAGTCCATTTGGTCCAACAAAATTTATTTTCAAATTTATATCTAGCACAATTTTTAGATTTTAAACAGTAAAACTTAGTTGTTCTTTTTGTGCATGCGGTTGTGTTTCGACATCGCGACCGGAGCCACGCAGCCACGTATTCGACATTAAGCGTGCGTTACTATCACCATCACAGTCACAGAATGAGGTTCATGCGGTCAGTGCGACGCGATTGCATCGTGTTCTGTGACGATGCATCGCCGAATCCGTGCGTGGCGCTTCGTGAGCAGCCGCTATCTCTTGGAGAACGTTTTTATCGTCTCCAATATTCTTTCCTAAATGATTTCCGAGAGATGGACGATATTGAGGATGCATTATAGATATTTCCAAAATAATGAAAAAGTTACGAAAAAATTACAGATTATTCTAAGATCGCATTTAACAGTAATATAAAATATGTAGTGGTCCACTATTTAGATTAAAATTATTTCAATTAAAAAAGTAGTATTTTTTTTTAAATCTGTGCTATAATATAGAAAATATGCAAGTGTACTATAAAATAATGACAGAAATCTCAATTTTTATACAAGTTATACTTAAAGTATTCGAGATGATTTTTGTAACATTATATTGCGATGCAGAAATTAGTTGTTTTGCAAATAAATAAAATATTTATTTTTTGTAAATCTTTAACTAATTTTTTAATCACAATGAAACTTTGCATAATTCATTTTGAATACTTAAAGTATAGGGTGGGCCATCTATTGGTACGTTTTTGAATTTCGTCGTATGGCAACACCGAACGAGCTACAGACCCGAAATTTTGACAGTTTATTAGTCATACCGTCCGCGGCACGAAACAATATGTTTTCTCTTGAAGAGCGTTTTGAAATTTTAAAAACTTATTTTCAAAGTCAGTGCTGTGTCGCCGAAACTGTACGAATTTTGAAAAGAAATATGGAGCACCGAAGGAGCTATACGCAAATTGGTGAGGAAAGTTCGTGAGAAAGGGATGTTAGTGGATGACAGAAGTGGTCCCAGAGCTCGGACAGTGCGCACACCCGAGAATATTGAGGCTGTGGCCCAAAGTGTGAGACAATTCCAGCTTTGAAAAACAATAGTCCAAAATGTCATTAATAATTGGGGTGACCGAATGGCATACTGTAAGGCCAGTAGAGGGAGCCACATGAACGAAATCGTTTTTCATTCTTGACGCGGATACTTTTAGCTTCACAACAAAAAAAAAATTAATAAAAAATATCAATGTATGCTCATTTGATCGCATTTTTAAAAACGTACCAATAGATGGCCCACCCTGTATTTATACAAAAAATTGTAATATTTGTTATTGTTTTTTAAATTTTTTTTATAACACTAAGAATAATGATAAATGAATTAAATAAATGAATTAAAAATTATTTAAGAAAAATAGATTGCTATAAACGCAACTTTCATATATATATATATATATATATATATA